TATTCCCTGATGACGCTGTCCCGCTCCGTAAGGGCTCTCCCCAGGGTGGCTGATGGCAGCAAGCAATTAACCCCCCGTGAGCCCCACGCAGAGGCAGCAACGCTGTGACCCTCTCTCCAACAGACGCCCGCTGGGCTCCTCCGAGATGGCACCGAGAAGCAGCCTCGCCGTCCCCTCTGAAGTGCCTGTCCTCGTCATTTGCTTTTTGGCATGCGTAGCCACAGGTAAGCGACACAAAAAAATCCGTCGTGGCTTCATCCATCACGCCGACATGCAAAACTGTCCGGGGTTGAGCAGCGCCCGGGGTGATGTGGCACACCAGCGTTCCAGCTTCCAGATGTTCTGGAGGTCATCCCCAGGGGACTGTCTGAAAACTGGCCTCTGATTTTGGGAGTAGGAGAGAAGGGAATGGGGAAGCTTCAGCGTTTTCCAGCGTTATTGCAGCAGCTGCACAAGGATGATGAAGCCACCGTTTTCAAACCTGCTCCAAGAAGTGCGAAGTGTGATAGCTTTGGCCGCCTGGCAATACCAGGGAAGAGACTTTTTTATATTCAAAGGACTATAGTGCCTTTATATGCTGAGCTATATTTTTAGTTCATTAATCTATGACACAGGCTATGGCAGCGAGTTTCAGCCCGTTATGAAAATGTATTTCCCATACTGGTTCTTCATTTAATGTGTCCTCATGTTTGTACGTTAGACAAACTGCAACTCTTCAACAGACTGGCCGGGGTACAGCTGAGCGGCTGATTAACTACTTTATATTCTTAAGCGCATTCAGCTCCAACCAAAAAACCAAATATCAAAGCATAAGCACAAAACGGGAGGACACAGGTATGCTGTGACGGTGATCTGCAGCAAGAGGGTGAGCAAGACTGGTGGGATGGGGATGATCTGCTGTGTGTGTTACATGGTCACTGCTGGTTTTCAGACATTTTGTTATGACAGGTCAGGCTTTGGCGTTCTTGCAGTCAGTTGCAAAAGCCTGACTTTGATTTTAAATGACTGTGAAGGGAGCTTCTTGTCTCAAAAACTGAAGTCCCACCTAAAAACAGCTGCTCAACTGAAGCCTGAAACTCTCAGTCCCTCCGCCAAGGTCGAGGGCCTGGAGAAAGTAGCAGGGCAATGTTTGTGGGAAGGGTACAGCTTAGGATGCTTAGTGCCCTTCTTCTCCTTCGTTTGCAGGTTTGGAACTGTCCATAAACAACCACGCTGCTGACTTCTCCCTGACTACAAACGTTGGGCCTCCCGTCTCCCTCTCCTGCCTGGTACAGAACAGCAGCCAGGCTGAGGAGCTGCTCTGGTACCGAGGAGACGGGCAAGTGGACCTGAAAGATGGGAATAAAGTGAACATCAGTAACATCTGCGTATCCCCAGTTGCTGAGTCCGACAATGGAGTCACCTTCACGTGCAAGCTGGCCCGGGACAAGTCTGTCCAGGTGTCTGTGACCCTGGATGTCAAGTGTGAGTTGCAGGGGTGGACATCTGTGCAGAACGGCTGGGGTGGGACCAAATCATGGGCTGAGCACCTCGGTGTCTGGGCGCTAGCTGAAGGCGGGGTGTTTTGCAGCCTTGTACGCTGTCTTCACCAAGAAAAAATGCATTTATGAGGAGATAACTCACACGATAAGACACTCCCTCTCCACAGTGGTGCTTATGGCCTGATCTAATGCCTCTTTTATAGGGAGTGGGTGGGCCCTTAAGTAAGATGTTGTGGATATGTCCCTGCCTCCACCTAGGATACAAGTCAGGGCAGAGGAGTCACGGGAGTGACGGTCTCTGCCGCTGGTTGCCCTGCCGATTCCCAGGGATCATGGAGGGCTGCACAACCGTGACGTGTTACACCACTGAACGAAGGGCACGAGGGATGTGTAAAGGGAACTTATTTTGTGTTAAATGGTGAGTGGTGTTATTAATGACCTGTTGAACTGCATTACTATGAACAGTTCCTCCTGAGCTGACTGGAGAAGAATCCCTCCAAATTGAAGAGGAGAAAGATGTCACTCTGTCCTGCAATGCCAAATCCAACCCTCAAGCCCAAACAGCTTGGTATAAGGACAACACCACCTTGATCCTAGAGCAAAACCGCTACCAGCTGTACCAGACGAGCGAGGTCTTTCAGCTCTCTATCACAAAAGTACGGAAGTCTGACAACGGGACCTACACCTGCATGGTGAAATCTCCTTTGGGAGAGGGGAGAAAGGACTTCCACCTCACAGTTGAAGGTAACACGGCTGCTGCCAAACAATAAGCTTTACAAATAACTCTCCATTCTCTTTTATAATGATAGCAATCCATTTATATTAAGACGTGTAAGGTGAACGTGATAAAGTCCCCACAGTAATTTCTGAGGGCACAGCAACAGCAAGGAGCTCCCCTGGCACCCCTGCCTGGGACCACAGCACCAGGAAGGGCTTTTCCTGCTCTACCTGTTATTCAAAGGCATTTGGCAAGTGTGACCTGGGGCGGGCTCATCCCACTGCCTCACTTCCCACGCTCACAGGGCACATGCAAGTGTGGTTTAAAGCACCTTAGGTCTTACTTGAAGCTTCTTACTCCAGCCGTAGTATTCTGTCATGCCGAAAGAGCTGCTTAAGGCAAGAGTAGCTGTCCTTCAGAAGTGACAACAACAGGGAGTAAGTACAAGTCACAGAAGTGACTACAAGTGGAGAACAAAGAGGCAGGAGCCTTGCAGGGGCTGGATGCTCAGGTCTCGGACAGGTGACACGAAGTGAGGTGACCCACCAGACCCACCAGGCACCCATTTCCCACCCACTGTCCAGGCCCCTCGCATTTCTGCGCTCTCAGGGATGAAAGCATCGTTAGCTGTGTCAGTGATACGGTTGGACACCCTTATTTCCACGTGTAACAGTGCCTCGGGGATCTTCTTCAGGGACCAACATTTCAATTCTTCCTTCAGTTCACTAAACTACAGGCTTGGCTCCCGTCTTTCCAGGGGTCTAATCCACGCAGTCGGTCTGCAGACAGCAGAAAGAGCAACAGTTCAAATCAGCAGTGACAGCCACGGGAAAAGAAATATGTCTTTCCGCAGCTCTGTGAAATGTTCTGTTTTATATGCCTGTACCAATCTGTCACACATTCAACCTCCTCTCCCTCTTGACAGATAAAAAACCTGTTTTTCCCAAGGAGGCTGTTATTGCTGCTGTTGTGGTGGTTACAGTCACAGTACTTTTTGGAATTGTGGCTCGAAAAGATAAAATTTTTAAGGTATGGAAAGCTCTAGTTTCTTAGAAAAAAAAAATAACACTGTTTTGCTGCAATACCCTGGGCTTTTTTTAACCTTTTCTATGCTATTTTGTAGTGTTGCTTTCGCCTGCCAGAGAACTGCTACATACTACCTCCTGCTTTAGGATTAACAGTAGATAAATCAAGTATTAGATATCTTATGGTGGAAGGCATTGCACGCTTACAAGATATTCATAAAAATATCCCTATGGCCAGGAAACACAAAAGATAACAAGACTCTTTCTTTATTTTCAGTGCTTCAAAAGATCAAGTGAAACAGCGCTGTAAGTATTTGACTCCTGATTCATGCAGCTTCCAAACGAACCCCCTTATTTAAGCCTTAGCAGAACCTGGGAAACAAAAGAGCACTCCATACACCCCAGTCACGCTGAGTTACCGAGCTCTTGTTCTGGCTGGCTAACACGACCACACACCTTCTCTCCCAGCGGGGAGACCCCACTGGGCAGAGATGCATAGGAACACGCCAGGACAGACGCAGATCCCACCCCGGGCACGGCACAGCTCCTGCCCTTGCCCTGGCCATCCCAGGGGCTTCGCCTGTGTGGGGGCAGTGGGGAACAAACATACCGGCGTATTCCCAGACCGCTGAAAGCTTTCTGGAGCTGAATGCAGCCCGGGTGAATTCAACTCACTTGTTTTTTTCCGTAATTGGTCATTTTTCATTTCTTCTTTTCATTTTGCTGCAGGTAAAGGCCACAAGGTTCCTGTGCATATGTAGAAAACATCATTTCTAGTGGTGGAACACAAGCCCTGGTGTGAGATGATGAGATAAAACACTGAAACACGTGTTTTGGGTCAAGTGTATATTGTCTTTTCAAAATATAAGTGGTTCTTTGCATCTGTTCATTCTAACCTACTGCTTAAAGCACCTCCACTGGGGGTGGGCTACCTGAGCTGTTGCCAGATCTTGCCCTCCACGTTTATTCCTGAAAGGTGCAGTCCAGCATGCGGGTCGTCGATTGGTCCATAGAGGAAACCATATTGGGTTGCCACAGATGGTCATGTTGATGTACAAATAAATCAAGGTGTTGAGCTGGCAGCCGCTTTCTTGGCTCTGTCCTACAGCGCCTTTCCACAGGGTGCTAGTGGTGGTGACCACCCAACTGGCTGCTGTTCTTGGTAATCCTATGGGCATCTCGGCTTCTGTTGGCCAGGGCAAAATCTGCCTGCCACTTCGGACTGCTGCAGCACCTCCTGTCTCCCCTGGCTGAGAGCAGACTTCAGGGCTCGGGGCAGCCCCAAGCGCTTGATAATACACAGTGGAAATTTCAATGTGAATGACAGGACAATGGGAAACAGTTTTAAGGTGAAAGTGAGGAAATTTAGGTAAGATATTAGGAAGAAATTCTTTCCTGTGAGGGCAGTGATCCCCTGGGGCAGGTTGCCCCGAGAAGCTGTGGCTGCCCCATCCCTGGAGGTGTTCAAGGCCAGGTTGGACGGGGCTTGGAGCAACCTGGGCTGGTGGGAGGTGTCCCTGCCCAGGGCAGGGGGTGGAACGAGATGGTCTTTATGGTCCCTTCCAACTCACACCATTCAAAGAATGCTCCAGCACTGTGACATTAAGAAAACCTCTCCATCCCTCCCCCCAACAAACGCACCACCCAGGCGTTTTTCTCAAGGTCCTGGCAAGCTTTTAAGGCCTCACGGTGTCTTGGAACGGTACATTACTAATACCGTCAATAAACGCCCTGGGCCGTAAATCAATTCCAGTCTGCCGTGAGCGGAGACTCCCCATGGCGGCGCACGGCTGTTGCTCAACAGAATGGCCCTGCAGCGCATCCTTGACCGACGCTCCCCGGGACCCCGCCGGCAATGTGGGTGCCAGCTCACGGCCCCAGGCGCTCGGCCTCGACACGGCGCTTGCCGCGGTGGCCGGTTTCCCGCCCTCCCGTGAGGCGCAGAGCTGGGGGTGACACCACGGGATGGGGATGCTCCAGTGGTGCCCAGGGCCGCGCCGGCCCTGAGGGAACATGGCTGTCCGAGGCGGCGGGGCCTGGGCCTTCCGCAGCCCTACGGTTCCTCGGGGCGGGGAGGCCGCCGGGCGCT